GACAACCAGTGTCTTGATTCAATAATTGCAAAGCCAAGGTATTCTGCTGTCAGAACGGTATCTTGATATGGTTACCCAGCAAATTTGATCGATACATATTACCATTGCACCATAAAAGTCATTACCTGCAGCAGTCTTACAGGGGCTTGAGAGTGTAATAGATTCCTGACTGTCAGTTTTGTTGGATTCTGTCTGTTTGTTGGAGACTTATATTATTGTCATGGATCTTCACTGTTATACAATCCCCCTCACAAACGTATTGCGTTCTTCTGTGAATTAACTTTCCTGCTCTCCAAAAGTAACATGCAATGAACATCAATACTCAGCGTGTAAAGCCTATTTTTATATATTATGCAGCTTCCCATTTTTTGCATATGTGTTTTTTTTGTGTGTATGTGTGTGTGTGTAAGGGTAGGGTGGGGGAGAATTGGTGTTTTAAGACCTCTTTTCTCCTATATTTTCTTGAGTAGTTTTAAAACTGTTACAAGGCTTCAGAGATTTGTCGATACATTTCAATTCCCAAAATATTGGCTGAAAGGGAACATTACAGACTCCTCAATCAGTGCCCCATCAAGCAGAAGGCCGGAGTCAGTCGAAGGCTGACACTCTGGTGCAGTGCTAAGAGGAGCACTGCATTGTTGTCATGTCTTGGCAGGAATAGCTGTCAATTCACTTTACAGTATATTCTGTGAAGCGTTTTGAGACGTCTCAATAACATGATAAGGCGCTATATCAAATGCAAGGATTATTATTATTGTAGCCATGTGGAGTTTATCCCTTTCAACTTTGTCCAGATGCGTTTCAGTTTTTGATGGAATATAGGAACAACAACAACAAGATTCCATTTATAGAGCGCCTTTCACGTCAGGAGGACGTCCCAAGGCGCTGTACAGTTGGGTCAGGACCTGAGCAGGGGGGAAATGGTCAGGGTGGGGGGAGCGAAGGGAGGGAGCGAGGAGGGGGTAGAGAGTCGAGAGGGGAGCTGAAGGCTCGCTCAAAGAGAAAGGTTTTGAGACCGGCCTTGAAGGAGGAAAGGGAGGAGGCGGCGAAGGCACTGGGGGATGGAGTTCCAGAGCCTCGGGGCTGAGAGGCTGAAGGCCCGGCTACCGATGGTAGGGCGGTTGGGGCGGGGGATGTGGAGCAGACCGGAGCCAGAGGAACGGAGGGTACAGGCAGGTAGGTAGGGGGATAGTAGGTCGGAGAGGTAGGAGGGAGCAAGGCCGTGAATGGCCTTGTAGGTGAGGATGAGGATCTTGAATTCGTGGATCTTGGAACATAAGAAAACAAGAAGAGCTGGAGATTTTTTTAGCTCTCTTCATCGTTTAATCCCAATACGTTGCCTTTTCACCATACCCCTTAAAACCTATACTAACTATCTGTCTGTCTGGCTCTTTCAAACAACTCTGCTCTAAAAAGTATAATCTCAGTCTACCTAAGCTCCCATCATAGCTAAACTCCTTCAGCTCAGGTATTAATCTAATTCAGCGGTTTTCAAAGTGAGGGACAAAAAATGGTGGGGGGTTGGGGGATGGGGGGGTTAGCGGAAGAATGCAATAGGTTCAGGGTGCATGAGCCCTTTATAAACAATGTCAGATTATTTCTCCTTTTCTTTTTAAGCACATTTGGCAAATGAACTTCTCCTGCTCGAAGATGTGATAAGGCGCTGCATCAAATGCAAAGATTATCATTATTATTCATAATTAAAATAAAGTATTCTCTTAATAGCCTCCTGAGAGCCACTGATGCGCCTGGCTATCACATATGCCATGAGCCACATTCTAAGATCTTTGGTGTTGACCACACCCCTTCACTAAATCTTTTGTATGATTAATATACATTTCAGTCTGTCATCCATTTCATTTACCTCTTGCAGATGATTGCTGAACACGTTTGTCAATGCAATGACAGAACCCCAGACAATGGAATATCAAATCTATGTCGCAATGCTCCGCTGGTGCACATTCTCTGTGAAACTCATGTGCATTCATGCAAGAAATTTGAAAAGCAAACTCAGACTTAGCTTATGTTCCTCAAAAATATATAAATGCATAACCTGCATATACAGTTTCTGCAAAGATACGAATAGCAAGGCACAACATAATGCAAGGAACCACTGGCCCAAATGGCATATCTACAATTATACAGTCACTGCATTTTACATTATGCTGACTATAGCTAAGATTCCTGTAATTTTTTTTGCAGACTTCACTGTTGGTAAGGTAACATTCATCAGGGATGGAAATATATTTTGTAACTTTGAAACTCTTACCTGTCCCTACCTATCTCTGTGAACTCCAGCAGTCGCAATCTGTCACTATCCACTCTCTTCTCTGCTAACTCACATATCCTGCATCCTCCACCCCACAAGCTTTCAAACACTTTGCTCCCGTTCAATGGAACTCTCTCCCAAAACTCCAAAGACTCAGATTCCTCTCTCTCTGCTTTCAAACCCTTCTAAATATTGTCCCTTTTCATTGTTAAGCTCTTTGAAATGTTACTCTACTTAAAAAGCTTTATGTGCAAGTTGTATCTTTCATGAATTTCTGATTGAAATATCCCACACAATTAGACTTTTTCTCCCTCCTGGTTCCGGGGAATCAGATATAAATATAAAAATTCTGCTGGATCCTGTTGTCTTCCTTCAGAAATGTGAATCCCTTTTCTATATGAAAAGTAAACTAGAGACAGCCAAGTTGTGAGGCGTCCAGCAGAAAACCAACAGAAGTACAACGTTTTCCCATGTTCAGGGCTCCTCCAAAGTGGACCTAGCAACAGAAGCTTTCCTTTAGGATCCTGATTGTCCTATGAATTCTATTTATATCTGTGCTCAGTTAGCATCAGTGGATTGTGTAGAGGCGTGATCGGTTATTGCCCAAAGGAGCCATCCATTCGTTCTTCATATGGTCTTGTTCAAAATAAAAGAAACAATGAGTTGAGCCAGTGAAGTTACCTGCATGATTTCATGCTTGGTGTTGTAGACTGTGTGCAGTATGACAGAGCAACATCCCTTGAAATGTATGTGTTCAATAGAATTGTGCCGTGAGACTATGTTTTCCTCATGGATGCAGCTCACTATCATTAAGTAGCAGAGACAATGCACACGGCAGTCACCTTAACTGCTAGAAGTGGAATGGGAATACAAGTTTATATATATATATATCTACACACACACTCACACACACATACAAACAGAGACAGAGCGAATGCCGTTGATAGTGATAAAAACCTGGGATGAGTTCTAATTACTTTACATATTGCTGCTCAGAGGAACATTGGAAAAAGAGTAGGTACTTTGGTCTGTCAAACCTGCTTATTATTATTTCCATTTTATTAGAGACTTTAGATTTTTAGCACCATTTCCCTGCTGGTTCTCCATATCCCTTAATATCAAGATATCTATCTTCCTGTTAAACATTTCAGTTCGCATCTATGAACCTCTGGGGTACCCAGTGCATGCCACATTCTGACTCCTTTGTCTGGTTCCATTTTTAACCAGTTTAGCTCTAATTATAAGATTATGCTCTCTTGTTCGGGATTTGTCTACCAGAGGGAAAGAGTTGATTTCAAATCCACTGTTTCAATTTCCATTTAACCATTTAAGAGTCAGCCTGGCTCGGTTCCTAGCACTCTGAGTCAATAAATTGCGTATTCAAGGGCCACATCAGGATTTTGAGCTTATAGTCTAGGCCAGTGCTGTAAAGCTACAGCCTACGGGCAGGTTTCAATCTTCTTGAAGGCTATTTATCCTCCTCATATCATTCACCATCCTGCATAGTTTGGTATCATTAACAAATGCTCTAATATTACGAGTATCTCCTCTGAATCATGTATGAATAATGTGAACAGCAGGAAACCCAGAACAGATGTTTGTAGAGTTCTGCTGGTCAATGGCCCAAGATAAAGCTTCCATTACCAATCATTTATCCTTTTCATTGCTATAGAGGTTTTCAATCCAATGAGCCATTTTGCCTGTTAATTCTATGTGGAACTTTATCAAACTCATTCTGCAAATTACAATACATTATATTCACTGGATAGTTCTCAGCCACCAATTTAGTTTCTTTCAGAAATAAGTTGAATTGATTTGGAAGGCATAATTTATCGTTTTCAAATCCACGTTAACCTCTCTTTAAAAAGAGCACTATCACGTTTTACAATAAGCATCCGCACTCCAGATGGGTATTGATAGTATTCCCTTCAATGATCTCAAACATTTTTCCCCATTTAAAAATATTAAGCTAATTGGTCTCTAATTGCCACTCACATTTCACCTCTTTACTATTTCATAATATTCCTGCAGCTGACAATTGATTCTCTTTCTTTAATCACTTGGAGCTCATTCTAACAGAAAGACAATGCAGTACTTGCTTGTGATTATATAGTGCAGTATGAAGCTCCAATCTAAGATTCAAGCTGTTTAACCAATATTTGTAATATCATCCTAATTTCTTTATCAAACAAAATTAATACTACTTTTGAAAGAGAGACTGATGATTAAGCAGAGTACAGTGTTTGAGTAGGGATTTCCTTGATGCATTTGGGATTCAGTCAGACTCTTTATCTAAGCCCAAAGGCATTGAAAGACACAAAGTTAACTGTAGCTCCGAGTAATAAAAAAAATCACTTATACTTTTCAATGTTGTTTTCTCAGCACTGTTATCATATGGATTTAAATGTCTGCCTACAAAGTACACAGTCACTGCACTTTACAGTAAAAATCCTGTGGCGCTTTGTGACATCTTCCAGACTTGAAAAGCACTACAATAATAATAATAATAATAATCCTTGCATTTGATATAGCGCTTTTCACGTCTTCTAGACGTCTCAAAGCGCTTGACAGAATATACTGTAAAGTGAATTGAGCATATATTTGTGGACGAAACTATATTGGCATTGGGATACAGCCAGAATTTGTTTAAAAAAAGCCAATGTGCTTGATTATCATACTAATAAATGAGCTCACTGTTACCATAGGATATGAGAAGTCAAACTTTACAGACCTTGCCTCCCAGTAATTCTGGTAGCCCCAAGATTTGACCGCTGAAGACACCGCAACAGATGAAAATAGCTGTGATCTGCCCTATGGAGCCACGGATCTGCTTCGGTGAGATCTCGCCCAAGTACATGGGGAGGGCACTGAGGGCAATGCCTGTGGAGAGAGCAACACTTCATCATCAGATATCTAATAGCCTGTGACACATCGCTGCAAAATTCCAATCAACATGCCTACAGATGAACCACAGTATCAAACAAATCAGGCTGTCATTGTACAGACTCGAGTATGTCTGACTGCCAAGCCAGCCCAATGATAACACAGCATGAGGTGTGGACATGGAAAACACAAACTGAATGAATCTTTTCAGCCAAGTGTTTTGTGGCATTGCCACCATCACAGTTTTTTCAAAGTGAAAGTAAACTGCACGTGTATTATTACATTGTCCTCTGCAGATTTCAGTCACACATTTAGATTTTAGTATCACAAAGATCAGGAATGCAAACGGGTAAATAAGGCCCTGCTCTGATTCTTAATGGGCAAATATACTCAAAGTCATATCGACCAGAAAGGTTCCAGGAGCATTCTCTGGTCTGTGCTGAATTAGCTGATGAGACCTTGCCTCAGTGTCTCTTAGCTAGAGAGGGGGATAAAATCCATCCAGGGTACTCTCCCTCTTCCTTGTCATTATCCAGTAAGCCCTGTGAGAGCATGGATGTGTATGGATGTTGGGTGACAAGAGAATTTGGTTCATCTAACTCCACCAGTTACAATACAACAACAACAACAACAAGATTCCATTTATAAAGCGCCTTTCACGTCAGGAGGACGTCCCAAGGCGCTGCACAGTTGGGTCATGACCCGAGCAGGGGGGAAATGGTCAGGGTGAGGGAAGGGAGGGAGCAAGGAGGGGGAAATGGTCAGGGTGAGGAGAGGGAAGGGAGGGAGCGAGGAGGGGGAAGAGAGTCGAGAGGGGAGCTGAAGGCACGGTCAAAGAGAAAGGTTTTGAGACCGGCCTTGAAGGAGGAAAGGGAGGAAGCAAGGCGAAGGCACTGGGGGATGGAGTTCCAGAGCCTGGGGGCTGAGAGGCTGAAGGCCCGACCACCGATGGTAGGGCGGTTGGGGCGGGGGACGTGGAGCAGACCGGAGCCAGAGGAACGGAGGGTACGGGCAGGTAGGTAGGGGGATAGTAGGTTGGAGAGGTAGGAGGGAGCAAGGCCGTGAATGGCCTTGTAGGTGAGGATGAGGATCTTGAAATCAATCCTCTGGGGGATGGGGAGCCAGTGGAGGCGAGCGAGGGTGGGAGTGATGTGGTCCCGAAGCCTGGTGCGGGACAGTACACGAGCTGCAGAGTTCTGAATGACCTGCAGCTTGTGGAGGGAGGTGGCGGGAAGGCCGGCGAGGAGAGAGTTCCCATAGTCCAGCCTTGAGGTGACAAAGGCGTGGACCAGGGTTTCAGCAGCGTGAGGGGTGAGGTAGTGCCGTAGTCTGGCGATGTTCCGAAGGTGATGGAAGGCGGTGCCAGTTGTAGTGCGGATGTGAGGGAGAAAGGACATTCCACTGGAAGGACATGGCCAAAAAGATTACCGAAACTTGTTCTCTCGGCTCACACAAGAAGAACAGGCCTTTGGATAATAATCCTTGCATTTGATATAGTTATTAGCCAGCTCCCTTACTGAAATATAAATGAAGACCTTTATTTATCAATGTTGCTCCCTTTTCTTTAAGTGTGACAAAGCTCTGTATCCATTCACACCAGGAGTAATAATAATAATAATAATCCTTGCATTTGATATAGCGCTTTTCACGTCTTCTAGATGCCTAAAAGTAATAACAATAATAACTCTTATATTTAATATAGCGTGCTTCACATTGGGAGGATGTCCCAATGTGCTTCACAGGATATACCGGGCAGTGTGATCACTATATCTTGTATGTGAAATGCCTGCTAATTTGCGCACAGCAAGTAGTTCCACATCAAGGTTTCTTTCATTGATTGATTCATTCATCTGGAATCCTCCTCATTCCAATCCCGGGAACCACAGACGTAACTGTTCGAGCACTTGAACCTGTCTGTGAAATTACATCATCTCCAGCTGAGAGGAAAGATTTCAGCAGCTGCTGTACGTGCAACCTTTCCTTAGATTGATTTTTTTTCTCATTGGTGGCAATGCAGTCCTATTTTTAAAAAAATCCTACATAAACCTAAATACCCCTAAAGTATCTCAGATCAGATGAAACCTCACTGTGTCTGAGGGCCACTTCCTGCAGTAGTTTAATGTCCAGTGGTATAATACCTTTTTGCCAGTGGTTCACTGCAAAAAGTACTCTGAATGGTCAACAAATGCCTAGTATAAATTAGTCGTGTGCCACAAAATTGCAAAGCAATTTGCACTGAAGCCTGGCTGCTGAGACCAGCTGGAGAAGTTGGTTTCAGCAGGATATCAATCTCCACGACTGCAACAGAAATGAAATACAGGTGATTCAAACTGACCGCTCCAGAACCTTTAAGCGCCCTCTTGCCCATTTGTTGTTGTAGATCCGTTTATGTAACTGGTTCTTCGATAATATTAACAACAGAGCTCTGCACACCCACAGAGCTCTTGGACTCACTGAGAGCACAAATCCATCTTCTAAATCTCTCTCGCTAAGGGCAATGTTGGATTATTTCCACAAATAAATCAGGCATAAGGATGGCATAGGGATGAAGTTCTAACCAAGCAGGGCTGTCAAAATAATTCTGGTCAGATCAAAACATCAGCAAAATCAATCTGTTTGTACAGCATGTTGATGTAGGTGGTCAGATTATGAATTTTTTTGCATCAAACCCTCGGCAGTGTTTTAAACAAAACACTTAAAAAAAAGTGTTTGCCATTCTAAATACACAGTTCAATTCACATTTATATACTGTCCCAAAGTGCTGAGAAACAACTACTTACTCTTGGTTTTATCAAGCTACAGGCTGCTGTCCAAGGAATTATGATTGGGAATTGGGAACCTGTTACTTTAAGTCCAACATTCTTTCATTTCAGCTATTGCTACACTCAGACATAAATATCCGTTTCTTGCAGTGTCTGTGTAGCTATAAGCAGTTTGTCTTATCGCTTCAGAAATACACTTCAGAAATTTATTTTCAATTTAGCAGAAGGGACTTTACTCCCACTGGCAGTATTTTTTAGGCAGGATGTATGCCCCTGCCAGATTACTTGAGTGCTACTGAACTGGCTCAAACTCTCTAATTGTGTAACAATATTCACACAGGAGTCACATTACTGCAGGTTTTAATAAAGAAAGTTTATTCCCAGTAATTCTGAGTTCAGTACATTCTATAAATATTTGTTACCCAATAAACGCTTAGTAACCCTAAGAGTAACCTCACAGCCTTTATTAAAGTGAAGTAGTTTCTCACCTCCGTCTAATCCAATGATGAACCGCCCCAAAATCAACATCTCGAAAGATCCAGCTGTTTTACTCAGTGATGTTAACAAAGCACCAAGGATTGCAAAACCATTGTTGGCAAGGAGAGTCCCTTTCCTGGGAGAAAAGAAATGGAATAATGTCAGATGACAGGATCACAAGATGGGTTTGAATGAAAAAGGCCCTTCGGCCCATCTGAGCCATTCTTCCAGCATACTCACCCAACCATCCCCCCCATTACAGCATCAAGCTGCTTTTTTAAATAAATTCAATTTCCTTGCCTCAAACCACCTTTCTTGGCAACCTGTTCTAGTTGTTAATTATCCTTTGTAAGAACTCATTATCCTTTTCTTACTAATGGATAATTAACGACTAGAATAGGTTGCCGGGAAAGGTGGCAAGATGTTTTTTTTTCTTTTTTTGTCCTGAAGTTGCCCTTTACAACTCTAAACTTATGTCCTCTTGTTCTCCTGTCTCGGTGCATCCTAATGTATTGATCTGGGCATAGGGGAATTTTTGTTTTGGTCAGCCTGGTGTCTGACATATGCGGAAGTGTAGGGGAATACTGGGAGTAACAGTAAATGTAAAAGTAACACTTTTTTATCATTCTGTGAGCACTTTTGGATTACGTGAGAATTCAGGTGAATGAACAACCTCTTTTTTTTAATAGAACCCCTAGGGAGGGACAGCTACATTTTTATCAGGAATAGATCATAAGAATTGGCAGCAGGCTTTGGAGGAGGGAAGATCATTTTGTTAAGCTTTCTCACAGAATATACCTCTCACCTGAATCTTCTTTGGCATTAACAGGTATTAAGCTAAATGTATGAGGTGCTGCTTTTGTGTCCTTCTACATAATCCTTGCGTTTTGTTAGTGTTGAAATGTGGCAATGCCTTTCACAGGTAAGTCCTGTCAGTTGTAATTGTAGGCATATGCAGTCGTCTTCGTCCACAGCGCAAAGCCCCACAAACCAGCGGAGGGAACGCTCAACTTATCTGGAAGTTCATTGACCAGGACACCGTGACAATTTCCTTTCTTTTTTTTCAAAGAGTGTCATCAGATCATTAATGTGCAAACGAACAGGGAGACAGGACTTTGCTTTTAACTTCTCATCAAAAGGGCCTATGTCATTGCAACACTCAATGAGCACTGCACTGAAGTGTCAATCTGGACCCATGAGCTCAGCTCTTGCCAGGGGGCTTGAACCCACAACCTTCTGGCTCTGCTGAGGCGAGAGAGACACTAACTGAGCCAGGCTAGAATAAAAAATAAAAGAATCCTGTCAGTCACATCCAAATTGTGATTTGGAGCATGTTTATCAATCAGTCTCCAGGGGTTTGTCAGTCTAGCACGGGTCTGATATCACTGTGATTGACAGAGATCATTGGTTTTGTCTCTATGTTTTCAATCTGCCGATGGTAACAGTATTTAAATCCCTCTTTAACCAACCAAAATCAACTCAAATGCTTTCTTAATTCTGTTTGCAGTTTCTAAGGGATGTTGCAATTATCTCTTAAAAGAAATGATATAAAGTTTATTGACCATAAAATGACAGGAAGCTTTTTCTTACTAACTCCACTGAATTTTTAAAATTTTGTTGATTTAGTTGTTTCTAATATAATAATCCTTGCCTTTGTTAAATTTCTTTCCCAATATTCCCTGGTGCACATATTTAAAACAATTTAACTGAAGAAAAATATTCCGGATAAATGAACCAGTTAGTTACTTTCCTGTTCTCTTTCAAACATTTTTCCATTTCTTCAGTACAATAACAACTTGCATTGATATAGTGCTCCTCACTTAGGGTAGTGTCCCAGAGTACATGACAGTGGTGGAGCACGATACCAAGCCGGGGGGAGGGGGGAAGTGACAGTAGGCACGGTCGAAGAGAAAGGTCTTCAGGCACGACTTGAAGATAGGGAAGGAAGGGACCAGGCAGAGAGATTCAGAAAGGGAGCTCCAGAGTTTTGGGGTGAAGTGGCTTTTTGGGATAGAGTGGCCTCCAATGGTGGAACAGAGGGCACAAAGGAGAAGCAGGAGGCTGGAACCAGTCAAGCGGAGGCAGCGGGTGGTGGGTTGGGGAGTAAGCAGGCCGGAGAGATAGGGAGGCATGAAGGGATTTGAAGTACTGCAACTTCATTAGGCATTTTAACACAATGGGGATTCCTCGCATAGTAATATTGCTGACATCTCAAAGACATAATAAGGTGCTGTATCAAATACAAGCATTATTATTATTATTTTTCCTCTCCACTATCCCCTTGGAATCTACCTTCCACAGCTCCCACCTCAGCTTGGATGGCAAGTCATTATTGTTAAGATCTTGGGTATGTCCTCTCACCATGAAAGCAGCTACATAAATGTAAAATTGTATTGTACTGTAACCAAATGTGGCGTTCCTCAGGGCTCTATCCTTGGTTCTCTCTTCTTCACCATCAATAAGCTCCTCTTTGGTGACATCATCCTTAGACATGGGGTTCACTTTCACATTGTGCGCAGTTGACACACACCTCTACCTCTCCATTTGACTTCAGGACCAGTACTGTTCTGACCGGTTGTTGCCTGTCAGACCATGTCCTGGATGAGCTCTAACTCGCTACAGCCAAATGTTAGCAAGTCAACAGTAAGAGGACAGTCAGGGAAGATGTTAAAACCCTAAGGGATTCAAATTGGTTGAAAAAGAGAATGAACAGAACATAGCAAACATATTAGATTCCAACTTTCTGGAGGTTTTTAAACAGGAAAGACACTAAGAAATTGCCCCAATGGCCAGCAAACTTAGTTTGAGCTCTGGGCTTTAATGAAAAGGCTTTAAAGAAAAATTCTGGATAGGCTCAAGGGGCTGAAAACTAGCGAATCCCCTAGGATGGATGAACTCTACTCCAGGGTGGTTAGGAAGACAAGGCAGGAGATTTGTGCAGTACTGAGACATCATGAGGGAGTCAATCAGGCCTGGGGAGGTTCCAGCAGACTGGAAAGCAAGCAGATGTTTTTTTCCATATTCAAGAAGGGTGATAAACTAAACTTGGCAACTATAGACCCATTTGCTTTACTTCAATAATAGGAAAAATGATGGAGTCAATTATCAGAAAGGAATATGAAGATTACCGATATATAAATAGTTTAATAATTGACAGCCAACAAAAGTTCAGAAAGGATAGGTCTGTCTGACCAATCTCACTGACTTTTTTTGAGAAGGTGACAGCCCAAATTAACTGTGTAGTATATCAAGACTTCCAAAAGCCATTTGATTAAGTAACTTTTGAAAGACACAAACTGTGATCACTGGGCATCAAGGGCAAGATATGAACATCGATTCAGAATTGGCTGAAGGGAAGGAAGCAAAGGGCATTTGTTAGGGGATATAGGTCAAAACGCAGAGAGTCATTAAGCAGGGTGCCTCCGGGATCTGTGCTGGTACCCCTCCTGTTCCTTGCATATATAATGACTTGGATTCGTAGACCCAGTGTAAGATAAATTTGCAGATGACACAGAGTTGGAGGGAACTGTGGAATCACAGGAGGCAGCATCCTCCTTCTCCATCTTCAAATCCCACCCTAAGTCCTATAGTTTCGACCACGCTTTCGGTCACCTTCCCCCACTCTTCCCTCATCTTTTTTAACTTCAGCACTTAATACGCAATGTCCTTCAGAGGCACATTAACTGTAGCAGTGGCAGGGAAAGGGGGGAGTAGAAGGGACTGGGGCTTTTCCAAAATTGAGAATGACACACAATTCGTGGAGTCCTGTAGCTCAGTGGTTAGAGCACTTGCTTTGCAAGCGAGAGACCTGAGTTCAATTCCAGGCAGAGGGCGAAACCTTGGGCAAGTTTCCTTACTCCACACGCCTAATAATAATCCCTCCAAAAAACCAAAAATAATAATTTAAAAAATTGGTCATTTTCAATCTACGACTGTTTGTGGGCCATTGCTGTGCGCAATTGGCTGCTGCGTTCGCCCACAAATGTACCGTCAATTCACTTTACAGTGTGTTCTGTGAAGCGCTTTGGGACGTCCTCCTGACGTGAAAAGCGCTATATCAAATGCAAGGATTATTATTATTATTATAATGGGGTGTATCATAAGACAATCACTAAATATAGCGAGGGATTTTGTTTTATTTCAGTGTGGAGTTATGTGCTAAGTGAGGAGGCTTCTAGTGTGATGCATCAATGACAAAGATTTAATACTATTTGTCAGCTCAGACTAAGGGCATTGGAAAGAAAATTATAAACTTGTTGCATGGTGGCAAGTCATTGGTAAAAATACAAAATAAAAGACTTTAGCAAAGCAGGCAATTAGTTACCCTGAAACCATGGACAATGGAGCTATGTCTGGCATTTAGCTGGGCTCTTTCTCAACATGTTGCAAATGTCAGATTTTACAAACATTCACTCCCTTCTCCCCCCCCACCATTTTACTTTAATTGAAGAATTTGTCCAATTACATTCATATTTTCCTACTCTTTGCTTAATTCCTCAGTAAATGTGCTGTCCACTCACATTAATTAGAGATTCAAAGAAATGACATAAAGCTTGTTGGCCATGAAAATGCCAAGGAACGTTTTCTTACTCATTTTAATTGAACTTCTGGGAAATCCGATTGGCAAAGGTTGCTGGAACACAAGTGCACCAGTGCATTATTTCCCTTGGTGTGTTCTCATTCAGTTCTGTGTGGGGCATGACTGTTCAGGGTTGAAAATGAAGCCTCCACAACCTTGAGTAGCAAACAGCAAGTCCTGATGAGTTGTTGCGGTACATCATGCTGACACGTGGGAACCCGACTTTCCGCTACCGAGCTCATCAGAGCCAACGTCTTGCCCAGGTCGGTGTGATGCACATCAGGCCACAGCAGGAGGCGCTATTTGTAAATGTTGCCAACCCTACTTCAATAATATAATAATAATCCTTGCATTTGATATAGCGCTTTTCAGGTCTTTGAGACGTCTCAAAGCACTTCAAAAAATATACTGTAACGTGAATTGACTGTATATTTTGTGGGCAAAACATGGCAGCCAATTGCGCACAACTGTGTCTCACAAACAGTCATGGATTGAGTGACCAATTTATTATTTTTTTTTCTTGAGGGATTATTATCAGATGTGTGGAGTAAGGAACCTTGCCCAAGCTTTCGCCCTGCCGGGAATCAAACCCAGGTCATTCCCTTGTGAGGCGAGTGCTCTAACTACAGCACTCCTGAAGGATTAACAATAAAGAAGGGAAAACAAGATAAATACCAAGGAGATAAACTTTGTAGGATCTTTCCTTTGGTAATGAAGTGGGTAGGGGGCAGAGTCCATGATAAAGCAGATTCTGTGTATATGTGGAGAAACTCAGATATTGAACCTGATTTAATCTCACAAAGCTCCCAGTCATCCTGGCACACTGAGTCTTCCAGACTTAAAGGAAGAGACATTGTGGTGGGTTCAGATGGTGCAGAACAAACAACAATAGTCACTGGTGTGCTGGAGGGAAAGGCTTTATTTAGAGGTGCACAATTCAGTGAGCACTACTTTCCAGGTTAAACCGCCAAGACACATTTGCAATTTTATTTAAAGAACCCAAGTTAAGGGCAAACTGCTGTTATGTGAGGAGGTCATTTGTGGCACCAGTTCTTTCATGGGGGGAGGGGGATGTGGGAATTCTCTGCTATGCTGCATCTGACATACCAGACATCTGAATATGCTTATATTCTGACAAAAAAAACCTCCTAAATTAAAAATCAAATATAATTTGCTGGATAAAATAGTCTTTTGGATATATTTCCCTGAAGTAAGATGTATCATATCTTTCGGGATTTGTTAACTACTGGTCTGATATTCTAATAATCAATTTCCTAAAGAGACATGAGAGAGCAAGGGGAAGCAGCCTTAGTCTGGGGAACTGTGACTGGAAGTGAAATAGTCTATTTTCTGCTTTTTCTTTCCTCCAGCTATCTTCTGCCAGCATAAATCACAAAACTCCCATCTTCTAATCTACCCAAATTAGAAAGTGTTTCCATTCTGTCACATTGCTGTGCATCCCTCCCAGGTCTGAGCGCAACATCTGTCAAGACAGGCCATCTTTTGTTTTGCAAGACTTTAACCACTCAAATGGCCTGAAGTCATTTTAGAGCGGGTGAATGATGGGCCGTGTAGAACCGGAGCCTGTCAACTATCATATAATCAATAGCTGACGGCCTTTTTTTGTAATGTAAAATAAAGCTGGAAGGTATCTCAGCTGCTCAGAAGCCAGGTTTTAATATCACAATTAACATCAAAAATATTAAAATAGTATTTATCATTTCAATGTGCGGCAAGCATATTGGAAATTATTTGCCTTGTTCAAAACTCAATCTCTTTGACTGCACCTTTGGCTCTTAAACCACCACCCGACACCCTCTTCACCATCTACCAACTAGCTCAGGCTCCCACTTGATTTCTGGAAAGTGATTTAAGACATCCTCCCCTAAAGTGAAATGCATTGTATAAGTACACTGTCGTTGTTGTGGTTGGTTTCTGAGTAAATTTCAACAATCGCCATGCAACCTTCAGGCACAGAGTAGTTGAGAATCATTTTAACCTTCACTTAACTAAAGGTGCTCTGCGATTATGATTTGTTAGAAACAATTTGAGAAGAAAATAGAGGTGCATAAGAGAGGAGAAGGTGAAAGCTTGTGTGGAGTATAAACACAGACCAATTGGGCCAAATGGCCTATTTCTATGCCGTATCATTCTATGTAATTATCACAGTTTTCTATTTCCAGCCACAATAATCCATAAGGTTGTCCCAAACACATTTTCACATTAAGGCAAGTTCACTGGAATGGCAGATCGTAAATATGAAAATGAATGAGTATGATGGATGTTTTCATGTTGAAACTAACAGACAAGGTAAAATCCCAGTAATGATCCTTGTTAAAGGGAAGCAGTCATTCTCTGACATGTTCAAGATGCAGAACACTTGTTAAGAAATTTTGTCTGTGTGTGAATTGAATGCTCACTTATGTGAAAAAAAAGTACCAACTCAAACCTAGCATTGACTTTATCAATTGTGTGTCATACACGAGACCTTCCTTCACTGAATTGGGGGAGAACATGGGAAAGAACTTGCTATTTTTTACAGCAGTGGTGGCCAACCTGTGGCCCATGGGCTAGAAATTCCCCAGCCCTCCCCACCGCCGAACATTTGCACAAGTCTAGGTACTTAAGTCTAAGTCCATGTTCGATTGGGAGTGTGTTTTCAGTTTTTTCTTGATTGAATATTTCTTGAATTATGGCTTAAATGAAGAAATATTCAATCAAGAAAATGTATTTGGATGACCAAACATAAAGGTTCGCCACCACTATTTTACAGTCCGTTGGGAGTCAGCCCTAACAATAGGTTTGATCTGGTGGGAGTTCTCCTGTTAATGGGTGATAATGCCACAGAACGTTCTTTCCTCCATATAGAACCTAATTTCAGGTGCTGAACATGCTCTGCAGCAATGCTGAACATTGCTAACCTCTCCAAAATAGCTAGCTATTTATTTTCCAATAGTTTGGTTGAGGGCTTTATTAGCAGAGCATCTGTTTCTCCAGCTATGAAGGCAGGTGTGTAAATTGACTGTTAATTGGATTTACTTCACTCGTATTTTCCCACTGACTTTATTCTCTAATAGTCTAATCCATTTCACACCAGTCTTGTAAAAGTCTGATGTTGGCACCATGAAAACCCCATTAGCAGAGTCAGGCGAGGTGAGAACATTTCATACAGAGAACATATGGTAAGAGATGTTTGCGCGCCGGTATCAGAAAACAAACAGGGTAAGCCAGCAGGTTTTGGCTTATTTCATCCTCATATCTATTTGTGTAGGAACATACCTGCCCAGGTACTTCACTGGAATGCTTACGATAAGTGCTCCAACCAGACCACCAATGGCAAAGATGGAGACAGTTATCGACCAAAGAAGAGTTAAGGATTTGGTTTCCATGGCTGTTCCAAACCTTGCTGTCCATGATTCGTTGAGAAAGACTTTAATGTACTGGGGGAGGAGGAGAGGGAAAAAAATTAAAATTAGCAGGTAAATAAAGAGAGAGAAACAAAGCCTCATCAATAACACTGCTTGTAATAGAGCAAAGCGAATGTAATTCGGCACTTAAGCATAGAACAATAGAAATTCACAGGCCATTCCAAAGGATGGTCATTCAGCAACATGGTCTGTGTGGGTCTTTGAAAACTTAATCTTTTCCATCCCATTTACCTGCCTTTTCCCCACCCGCCATACTTGTTTCATCACCACAGTGAAACATTGCTTCCTCATGAGATTTGCTAAAATTAGATTGGTTTTAAAGTATGAAACGTCCTAACTATTTTTTCTCCGATTTAAGCAGTTGCTGTCTCCTCACGCTAAGCACCAAGAGAGCTGAGAGTTTGATCCACTAAGTTTCCAAATAGTATGGTTTTCAGTCAGCTGCTAGGTGGTGCATGCGGGTATCCCAAGGTGACCATCCCTCCAACTTTCTTTTCGCCTTCTAATAGCCACATCCATTCTGGCTTCCTCGCAATAGCACTGCTTGTGAAGCATTCTGCAGGTCATTGTACAAATGTTGCAGGATTTGGAAAACTACATAATAAAACACTCCAGCTCTCTCATAATGTATCACAGCTCATCTAAACATCATTGTAGTGGAGTGCTAGGTGAGCGCAGCATTGTTGAAGGTGTTGTCTTTCAGATGAGATGCCTTCTTCCTATTGTCAAGTGTGTATAATAATAATAATAATCCTTGCATTTGATATAACGCTTTTCACGTCGGAAGGACGTCCCAAAGCGCTTCACAGAACACACTGTAAAGTGAATTGACTGTATATTTGTGGGCGAACGCGGCAGCCAATTGCGCACAGCAATGTCCCACAAACAGTCATAGATTGAAAATGACTAATTTTATTATTGTTTTGGGTTTTGGAGGGATTATTATTAGGCGTGTGGAGTAAGGAAACTTTCCCAAGGTTTCGCCCTGCCTGGAATTGAACTCAGGTCTCTCACTTGCAAAGCGAGTGCTCTAACCACTGAGCTACAGGACTCCACGAATTAAAGAATTAAAAAAGTATTAAAGAATCGATGATACTATTCAAAAAGAGAAAAGGAGTTTATCCTTGAGTTCTGGTCAATGACCATCCGTGTAGTTGCTAATTCACCTTGTGTTCATGAAAATTTGCAGTGATCAAAACGGTTGCCACATTTGCCCATAAATACACAGTCACTACACTTGAAAGAAATTAACTGTGAACCACTTTAATCTTTCAATATGCTAAGGTGCTATAAAATACAAGAACAAAGTGAGGTAAAGTCGTTTTCTTTCTTTCCTAGGAAAAGGAGCTGTGTAGCACAAGTGACCAACAACAGGGAGGATGTCGAAGGCGCTGGACAGTCAGGGATTTGGACGCGAGCTAGTTTGCAAGATCCCATTAGGTTAAGCGTGACATGTGAATACACTGGATTCAAACAGCATGTTCAAGTTTCCCCCGAGAACATTATTAGCTCTTAAAGTTGATCAAGCTAAATATCAGGCTGTACTGTAAGTGTTGTAAATTTAGCAATAGTAGGACCTCGAAGCATCCTCTCACTATGAGTGTGATTAATAACATCCAGGTTTTGGACTGAAGTAACAGAACAAAAGAAACAGAAAGGTTGGGAATGCTAACGTAGGAATATTGAGTTCTTCTGATGGGTTGACTGTTAATTGGGAGAATATTGGAACATATTCTAGGCAAGGCGAAACCTTGGGCAAGTTTCCTTACTCTACACGCCTAATAATAATCCCTCCAAAACAAAGCAATAATAAATTGGTCATTTTCAATCGACGACTGTTTGTGGGACACTGTTGTGCACAATTGGCTGCCGTGTTTCTCCCACAAAGATACAGTCAATTCACTTTACAGTCTATTATGTGAAGCGCTTTGACACGTTGAGAAGACATGAAAAGCTCTATATCAAATGCAAGGATTATTATTATTATTAACAATGCAAGGCCAGCAGCCCCTTCAGTTAGTGGGTGGGTTAAAGTCTTATTCATTGGATGCAAACGTTTTGAATTATGATGCCCAGTATGAGTACATGGGGACTTTATGCCCTGTGTAGTATGCATATTTTAGAAATCAAATCCAATAAAAACTTTGATTCAGCACAAAAAATTCTTATAGTCTCCAGTCAGTTTGTGTGTGTGTGTGTGTGTGATGATCGTCTCTCCTTTCAACATTATTGTAGAATACATTGTAAGATGCTGCCAAGTGTTCCCCAAGGCTCAATTGCTGGTCCATTATTGTCCAACTCATTTATTACTAACCTGCCAGAGCCACGCTACAAAGTAAGAGTTTTTCTGCAAGCCGAGGATCCAGTCGTTTTATATCACGTCCCCTTATGTTCCTGACATTTCATCTCTTTTACTGAACTGGAGGAAATTAAGATGTAGAATTGCCTTGAGCGAATAGATTTTGATAGTCTACTTCCACCCTTCCCTCCCCCACTCATATGTCTGAGTGTATTATGACCTTTATTAGAAAATAAAATTAAAACAGAAAGAAAAATTGCCTGGGGAGTGTATCAATCTTTCCCTGCTCCGCTAACTGTGGAAGTGGACTCCATGTTCTTCTGTAGGGACCAAAGTGGCTCTTTAACATTCACTTTCGTTTCTGATCAATTTTATTTTATAAAGCCCTGCAAGACATTTATTTTATTATGAAAGGCACAATATAAGTGTGTGGAGTCCTGTAGGGTATTGGTTAGCTCACTCGCCTCGCAAGAGAGAGGACCTGGATTCAATTCCCAGCAGGGCGAAATGTTAGGCAAGTTTCCTTATTGCACGCGCTTCTGTTTAGCTAACAGTAAGTAGGAACCCGGTTCTTAGTCAATTGACAGATCTTTTTCCGGGGGTAAGAATCCTTTCAAAATTTGTTTTAAAAAGCATAATAATTTGATCACTCAATCCACAACTATTTGTGGGACACTGCTGTGCGCATTTCGCTCACAAAATATGCAGTCAATTCGCTTCATAGTATATTCTGTGAAGCGCTTTAACACATTTCAAAGATGTGATAAGGCATTATGTCAAATGCAAAGATTATTATTATTATAAATGTTATTCGTACTCATAACAAAATCTTATCTTTGACCAATGCCTATTCAGATAAATTAACTGGGGAACAGTTGGTCTGGTTTGCTAGCTGTCAGCTGGAAGCAGTCATTAAATCTAAATAAACAAAATAATAATCCTTGGATTTGATGCAGTACTTTAGAACAACAACAACTTGCATTTGCGCGGTCAAAAAGGAAGGTCTTGAGATGCGCCTTGAAAGAGTCAAGGGAGGGGGCGAGTAGGAAGGGTTCCGGGATGGAGTTCCAGGGAGTGGGAGCAGAGAGCCTGACCGCCGATAGTGGAGCAGGCGGGACAAGGAGCAGGCCAGTGCCTGAATAGAGGAGGGAGTGGACAGGTGGTGAAGTTTTAATAGGGTAGATCAAGTCCATGGAGGGCTTTAAAGATGAGGATCAGGATCTTGAACTTTATCACATTGCAAGTCTCAAAGTTTTCTGTAATGTGGAGTGACTGTACGCAAACACTAAATTTTCACACTGCAATGTCCCAGAGACAGTCATTGAATTGAATGACCCTATTTTTTGTTGTCTGGGAGATTGTTGGTGAGGTTACCAGGAGAAAGTTAATGTGCACTCAAACAGGCAGACAGCACCCCGTTTAACGTCTCACCTGAAGGATGGCATCACTTCTATCCCTCCACCTTGCTCCCCTCCTTGCCAGTTTTCAGCATTCTGAGATACTACCCATGTGAAGGGCACTATATAAATGCAAGTTGTTGTTGTTCAGATCACACCTGAAGACCTTCCCCTTTCTCTAACCTACGGTCACCTCCCCTCTCTCCCCGGCTGGGTATCAAACTCCACCACCCTTAAGCACTTTGTGACGCTACCTTCTATCTAGCGAGACCACTATTTAGATGGAGCGTTTTTCAAGCATTGTATTGGAGTGTCAGCCTAGACTAAGAGCTCAAGTCCTGAAGTGAGACTTAAACCCACAACCTTCTGATTCAGAGGTGAGAGTGCTACTAACTGAACCAGGCTGACGCAACAAAACAGCAAGTGCAGGAAATTCATTGCAGACCACTCACAACGAAAAAGGTCCGACATCAAGTTCTGGACGAGGGCCAACTTTTTCCAACTCGACGTCAGCAAGACCGAGGCCCTCCTCATTGGCTTGTGCCAGTGCCTCTGCACTTCAGGCGCTCTCAGCATCAGCCTCCACGGCTGCACGCTCAACCTCACTAAGCCAGTCAGGAACCTGGGTATCTTGTTTAACCCTGAACTGTCCTTTCTCCCCCACATCTGCGCCATGACAGGCACTGCCTACCACCACCTCCGCAACGTTGCCAGACTCCACCACTGCCTCACCCCTCAGGCTGCTGAAACCCTCACCCACACATTTGTCTCATCAAGGCTCGATTACGGGAACTCCCTCCTCATCGGCCTTCCCAACTCTTCCCTTCACAAGCTGCAGATCATCCAAAACTCTGCAGCTCGTGTACTCTCACACACCAGGCTCCGCGACCCCATCATCCCATCCTCGCCCAACTCCACTGGCTCCCCATCCCCCAGAGGATCAAATTCAAGATCCTCATCCTCACCTTTTAGGCCATCCATGGCCTTGCCCCCTCCTACCTCTCTGACCTGCTGACTCCCTACCAACCTGCCCACTCCCTCCGTTCATCAGGCTCCAGCCTGCTCCATGTCTCCTGCCTGACCCGCCCTACCATCGGTGGTCGGGCTTTCAGCCTCTCTGTCCCCACGCTCTGGAACTCCATCCCACAGTCCCTTTGCCTCGCTTCCTCCCTTGCCTCCTTCAAGGCTGGTCTCAAGTCCCTTCTCTTGCCTTAGGTCTCCCTCCCACCTCTCTGCCTTCCCTCACCCCTACACCACCTCTCCCCCATGTTCGGGCCCCGACACCTGACTGTTCAGCGCTTTGGGACGTCCTCCCG